TGAAGATGACATCCCGAACTGTACAAAACAGAATGTATAGACCAAGAGGCTAGACCTTTTAATGCGGACAGCGATAAATAAGCTTATGGAAGGCCTGTATGAATTTAATATTAGTTTAGACGCGGGGAGGGGGGTGGATAGAAGGGTAGGGTGAGTAATTGAAATGGTAATAAGAGAACTTCTTATCAGTGTCACCATAAATTTGAGCCGTAGCAAATGTCTGCAGATTCTAAATCGAATTTATTTTGAAAGGTAGAAATTTATTGTGTTCGTTGTAATTATGAGGTGTTGGTAAAATGGGGAGGAGGTGAAACTACCTCTTTTTATGTCAGTGAGGAAGATTACTATTGTTTATGAATGAGTGAAAATACTTTATGGTTAGAGCCCGTAATATTCTGATGAAAGCTTTTAATACCTTTATTAAAATAAGAATGACGAGAAACTCGAATTGCAGTTGTCCATTTTAATTCTATTGACTCGCATAAGTTTGACTGAGTTGCGAAAGAAGCATTTAAGTTTTTTTATTATTATGCGGGAATAAGGATTTATTACGAATGGCGTGACAAAGATACGTTGTTAAAATGATAGGCCTACATTATTCCTGAGAATTTTCCTTCGTCCCTTTTCTTGGTCTTAAAGACGTGACAAAGGAAAATTTCCAAGAGTATGTAGCAGTTTAAAGATGTTCTTAGCCCAAACCACATAACTCAGCCCTCTGGGCAATACAATTTTATATAAATCATTATTCAGTACATGGTTATTTTCTTTCGATATTGTACTCCAAATGTATACAGTCTACGGGCTTCAACACAGGTTTCCTCAGTGTCTCCTTTCGATACTTTTCTATCCACTGTCTTTTTATAAGATTTGAGGTTCTCACAACGAAGAATATGAAGAAGGCTGTTGTTTGGTGTATAACACCGTGTAGTTACAAGCTTCTGTAAAACCCCTGCAAGTATCTATCAGTCTGCGTGGGTTTACATCCCAGTAAACAGCCATGTCCATGTTTATAAGCTAGAATGAGGAAGTTTTGTGACAGTAACAGTATTCTATCGTCTGACTTTTCAGGAGTTGCGGTCTACAGATGATCGGTTGTAATTACACTGACTGTTATAAAATATATATTTAATTGGGTAATAGGTCATGAATGCGTTGAATGGGGTCACCGTGCTAAGGATAGTATCCTGTCTGAAGTTTTTGTGAACGCAAGAAGGAGTATTTGCATTCCCATAGAAGCATGCCATTTCTTGACCATCCAAGTATTTATCAACTTCTCAGTGAAACCTGTAATGGAGTTATTCAGTTATTTAATACGCTCAAGTTTGTTGACCTGAAACATTACGCGCAGATAACGCACCTGCTTATTACAAATTTCTGTCTGACAGCGTACAGCAAGTTCTGTACGAAAGCCACCTGAGCTGTTTGTGCTAAATTCAGCTGATGAAAGACGAATAATCCTCCATGCGAGAGATCATGGCGTCATCGTTAAGATACAGACTAGCTGATGGAGGTTGGCGTTGGAGGGGGATAACTTTCATCTATCTTTGCATTGAAACTCAAGACTCATCAGTGCCACAGTGCACTATATAATCAGCTTGCTAGCAGACGTCCACCTGCGATCGACAGTTGTAATTGACTGAGTCTTCCTCAACTGCTTTTCGTACACAATGAACATAAGCTCCATTACTTTAGAAATTAATTGAAAATTTCTGGAAAGAATTGTAAACACCAACTTTCGTCCTCCATTTGCAAGCCTATCGTAGTACGATCTCCTAACTGAGCGACAATCAGATTCTAAGTAACGGCTATGATGCATAAAGTTAATGTTTTCTTCAGTGAAATTGTGTGTTGTTATCGGCCACAAGTATTATTTGCACATGTGATGCAGTCAGAAATTTCCTGGCATGTGATAATGTAGCTTCCTATAACCGAAACCATCAAACGTTGACGAATGGCTTGTAGAAAGGATCTTTGGCTATTCCTCTTACAGCTCCAGGTTTTCGATGTTAAATCGCTTGCCCTTGTTGAGGGTACTTTAGTAGGCTGAGAATATGTTTACTCCTTGCTGCATATACCTCCCGCACTACTCAGTGATGATCCAAACGCTGCCAGCATCTGTCATTCACGACTGACGCTTTATCAACACAGGAGTCTGCGTGAGATATTCTTTCCTACTGATGATTACCTAAAAATCAAATCCTGGCTGCATTCAGAAGGGCAAGAGATTTTGCCACTGGGTGCGTAAGAACAATTATTACAAATATGCCCTTTGTGTTTTCGTTACACGTGTTCAATTTTGTTCGGAACATTTTGGATGAGCGTCTTCGTGCCCCAAACGTAAAGTATGCGTTTCATTGTAGAAGTTCGAATGGTCTAATTTCGTGATGTGAATCTTCGTAAATCGAGTACTGGCCATTTCAGAAAATATAATGTAAGGGGTACAAATTAAATTTGGCCGATAACTCTCAGTATAGACCCCAGTATCAAAATGATCGAAATCCAGTTATTAGTTTCGAAGATAAAACCAGAACAGAAAGATAAACACACATTGCCTTAAAGAAGAAATTATTTGTTAGGTTAGGTTAGAAAAAATTATAAACGTTTCATCATAGGTCCCTATCCGTAACTATTTCAACCCAGTTCACATTTGCACAGCCAATGCGTGTAAAATCCTGGTCTTGTGATATTTTACATTTATGCTCACATCTTCGATGACGTCATTTCGTCAGTAATTTCCAATCAAATTCCTTTTCAGAATTTGTTGTATCTCCTTATACATGCTACATGCTTAGGCAATTTCTTTCCTTTTAATCTCTTAGCAAAATTAATTGAAGCACATATATTATGAAGTTTCACTTCGTGCATTTTTTTCCAAATATTTTGTTACTTTTTACAAAACAGGTAAAACAGAGTGGTTTAAAATGCAGTTCGCCGACACTGAGCCGGCAAAACTGAATTTGGAGTCACCCGGTAGAAATAGGTTCGATTCCCTCCCATATATCTTCAAGATCGCTTCCATAGTGTTGAGTTTTATAGCAATATTATACCTACTCACGCTGAAGTGCCGTCGTTTCTGCGTTCTCAGGGGACGCCTACAAGACACGACTCTCCGGCTTTATAAAAAATTGACACCCGCGTTTCGAGTCCGACATCTTGTAACTGCGCATCCCGCCATCCAAATTCGAAATATTGAAATTTTATCTCCCAGTGTATTTGCGTCTGTGTGTGTGTGTGTGTGTGTGTGTGTGTGTCTCTCTCCCTGACTATTTGACAGACAGCACAGAGCGTAGCAACAGAACGATACTTAAGGCGTTTCGAAACAAGCCTTTTTAATTGTTAAATATAAAGAAAGCTCATAACAGTTAAACATCACGACATTCTGTAATAAATAAAATAGCCTAATTATATTTCTAGGTGTTGTTCATACAGCAGCGCCCATGTCTGTCTGTCTGTGTGTTGTGTTTTTAATAGGAGGTAGGTAACCCATATAACCGTGGGTAATTGTTACGCAGCAGAGGAAACCTGTTGTTGTTATTCCTATTTTTGTTAATTATTAAATTTGTAATAAACCCAACTTTAACATATTTGATAACAAATCTTTCGACATAATTTTTTTTCAAATCTTTTCATTCATAATCTACGTCTTTGGTATTTTATTCATTATTATGTACTATTATTCAGTGTTCTGTCTTACGACAGGTCCATTGCTCTGCCCAAAAAGAGCTCTCCAGTTTTCCCTATTCTCAGCTTCTCGTTTTAATTCCTGGAACTTCATCTTCTTTCCTTGTTTAAGATCGTCGGTTAGCTGTATCAGTCTTTATTATGTACTTTGCCCAAAAATGTATAACTGTGTTAAGGTAGGCATTGCCTTGTTTCATGTATTTTATTTTACTGGCTCAGTAATTGGCTGGTGTAGCTCTTACGTCAGCACTTCAAAATTTAAAATTAGGCATTGATCTGAATTAATATACAATTATTGTTATATTTATTTATCGTTGCGTCCTTCTCTTGTGTTGTGTCTGTAATTCGCCTTCTGGTTGTTGATATAGCACGCTGATAATAATGAAGTGAATTTAAAATTGTTTCCCTGAGCTACTGATAGCGTCGTTAAGTAAACATGTATATATCCTAATGCAATTGTTACTCATTGGTATTGCCATCGCCGGACTGGCCACCCCTTTGCCGTATCGAGTTATATCATACAAGAATCAGCCGGACCATGGCTTTCCACAGGGGGCTTCTCCACCGACGGAGGTAGACCATTTCAGAAGGGACTGTTCCCCCTGGGAACACCCCCAGGCGATGTCCCCACGTCTAGTCCAAAGCGGGATCTTTTATTTAGCGTTAGGGGCTTTATCACTCAGATCATTCTCCAGGATTCTTGCTTCGTTAAGG